GGGGGGGGGGGGGGGGGGGTCAGGAGGGGAAGTCGGATTAGTGGGAAGGGCGGGGAAGGCAAGACAGTTGTTGGAATGATACAGTCAGTACTCATGCATGCGAGAGGAAGACAAAATGCACGGCGGTGGTGGGAGGGTAAGCCGTGCCGAAGGACACCAACTCTGCAGGTTGTCCAACGGTGTGCGTATTGTTGGGGTTCACTACCGCGAAAATTTGCAAAGTCGAATCTGAGGATATTGCTTCACTGGACACGAAAGGGGCCGCGCCCAAGTTTCATTCACTCAAAAGACGTTGCTAACGTCATACAACAGCAGGACTAACAACTCCGCATCGCCGTACATGACGCAAATTCCACCTTCGTTGTAACGGTCCCTTGCCTGTGTGTGAATTATGCCACCAACCCCAAGGTACTGCATGTTGGAAAAGAACGCCGAGATACTGCCTTGGGGGGTACAGCATCCCGTGATACCATCCCCATACTTGCGATGGGCTTCTGTGGCCCACCATAAACCAGCCCTCATGCAATGTCAGAAAAACAGAATGACAGCGGCAGCGGGTGTATCGCCAAACTCACATCGAGCTCGTCATCCAGGCACGCCAACTCCGCGTCTAGGTCATCCTCGTCTAGCTCATCTCCGACGCTGTTGCCACAGGTCCAAAGGGGAGAGGGCACGGCACGTGAAGGTTGTTTGGGAGAGGTTTGTCAGCGGCAGGACGACGAAGAGACCAAAACATACAGCACGAAAACAAGGATATATCGCTTTGCTGGAGAACCGAGCGTGTTCTCATCTGGCCAGTTCTCATTGATAAAAAAAAAAGCTCGTGCAATCACACCAGTTCAAGGATCACAAGCGCGCGCCTTGAGGTGTCGACACAAACGAAGTTATGAGTGAGAGGCACGTGGAGTCGTAGGAAGCACAGCAGCTTCACACAGGCACTAACACTGGCTCGCAACATCCGCGCATTTCGATCTCACTTGTAGGAGCGGCCCATGATGTCGTTGATTTCGTTCATGTCCTCCATCATGTCGGCCATGTCGTCTGTCATGTCCTCCACCTTGTTGATGTCGATCTTCTTGATGTCTGCCTTGAGCGTCTTGCTCGCGTCCTTCATCGCCGCCACCTGGCGCATTCACACAGCAGTGTAGCGTACAAATGAACACACCACCACGAAAGTGCCCCCTGGCACAAAAAAAGGTAGACGCTTTGATTGCTAATGTACCGTACATGTAGTAGGCGGGTCTTCGAGAAGGAGTGCTTTGGGTGCAGGAATGGAAAACATACCGTCGGAGCGAGGTTCCTAGTGCTGCAATTGGGTGTTGGGGTGGAACAGAACATCAAGCACTGACAACGGCACCGGCCCATTTGTCAGGAAACAGCAGAGACCACCACCACCCGAAAACTATCTTTTCTTTGCATCTGTCCCTGCCTCTCGTGTCGTCCCTTGTCTCTGTGTCTGTCTGTCCCTGTCTGTATCTCATTCTCTGTGTGAATGTGTCCCAGGTGAAGCACACACTCTGCCGAACGTAAAGAGACGCGAGTTCATGATGCATGCATGGGACCAATCGGCATTTGCTTTTCGATCCATCTCACTAGATCCCTCCCACCCACGCTCTGCACCAAGACTTAAAGACAAACCAAGAACGAGAAAAAAAAGCTTGCCGTTGTAGCTGTGTCCTTGATGGAGTCGATCGCGAAGCCTGTCTGCTCGATGTTGAACTGCTGCCCGGCCATCTGGTCCCTCTGCCCCTCGTACATCTTCTTTCGCTTCAGGGTCTCCATGGCGCGCTTCTTGATGTTCGTCGCCGTGGGACCCTTGGCCTTCTTGAGCGCGTTACGGTACTTGACGAGCTCCTGGTCCAGTCCCTTGATCTGACGAACACACGCGATGCGCCGACAGACCGTGTACAGCAGCAGCAGTACTGATGCTGAGAGACTATTCGTGGCAAGGTAATGTATGTGGGAAACGTTGACGTTCGAAGATGGAGGCATCAACAGGAATATTGCCTTGGTATGTATGCATACAGGCAGAGGAGAAGCACCGCTCTCCAGTATCCCATTCGCTCCGGAGTTGAGCACCGTGGACACTCGGAAGGCCGCACATCGGATGAAGCCTTACCTAGCTATTCCCACCGGGGACAGGGCTGATGGTGCTTTTTTGGCTACTACACGTACTACGCAGATCTTCTTCGTATCAAAAATCCCATGTGCGGGCCCCCTAGTACAACTGGAAACTCTCTGAAAGTCGCCATGTGCTCTAAGCAGCGCGAGAGAAGAGTTGTGGAGTAGACTTGGTGTTTACTTGTAGCAGCTCGAGATTCTCTACACGACAAGGATTGGCCGGCCGGTTGCTTCTCAACAGAGGGCCCAAAGAGGGAGATGGTCTGTATCAACCACGCGAGATAGTAGGCAAACATGGCGGCCCACGTAGAGATTAGCCTTCAGATAAAAGATTTCAAGAGCTATGCAGTCCATGCGGGCGCAAATGTTTCGCCCAAATCCATAGCCAACGACGCCGACAACCCCCGAAACCTAGTACTGCACGGCAAAGCTCGTTTTTTTTCCCGTTGAGCCCATCCAACCAAATTGCCTCGGGCGTTTCCCCTGACTCCATTTCCATTTTTTTTTTTGTTATATAGTGGAATAGGATGATGGGGTACCCCTTGGACAAAGAATGCATTTGCACTTCTGAGGTGCGGCCTCTCACTTGTCCAACTCATAAAACCCCAAAGGATTCCGTCATGCCGCACTGCGATTCCCGGCCCCCCAGTCACTCCATTCGTCAACGCTACAATAGTAGTCACATTTAATAGGTAGTACGAACAAGTACACCGCTTGGGTTGTGCTTTTTCGTGCTCGCCAGCACCGTCTCCGACTAAAGGCGACAGGTTTACATTACGCGAACCCTTAAGCTATCATGCTGGAACTCGAAGTTCATACACGAACAGCGAAGGTAGTTGAGAAGCACTCGTGATTCAGTGATACCTACTCGAAGGTTCCAAGTTTTGAGGTCGGGATAAGGAAGGCTGAGAGTAGTGATTGCGGAGCAAATGCAGAACAGTCTGCGTGCCCCCAAGCAAATATATTCCCTGGGTATCATAACGTCGGGAGAGCATCTGCACCGTATGCCACCACTTCCACCACAAGCAGATCCGCACTGCTACTTCATACTTCGAAGTACCACTTACTGCGACATGCCCACCCATCAAGGGACGGGCTCGGAATATTCCACTCTATTGACGGGTGGCACGCGGTAATAGGTTTAAACTTGTCGACGTGTCGGTGTCGGGTACACTCTTGGGCCATGACTCCGAACTCAGCACTGCCTTCCTACTGCAGTTCCTACAACTACCATTCGTGGTGCCCAATACTATTGCACAGGTAATCTCCGATACCTGCAACCTGCTACCCACTGCTGTAGCTGATCGTAGCAGAGTTCGGTCAAAAGAGCCATGTTGTAGCAGGGTCAAGGTTATAGGGGCGTATAGCTATATACCTTCTCGTCGATTTTAGCAACTCTCTCGTCCACCCGACCTCCCGCTTCCGATAGGGAGGGGGCCGGCCCCTTTTCTTTCTTCTTGCCGAAAACGCGTTTCATGGTCGACCTCCTTGCTCTGCTGCGTGGTCAGGTTATCGGGCGGTGCGTGTGTGCTTGACGTTTGATGTTTTGACTTTTCGGAGGGGATGCAGGAAAGCAATCCCCGGCTTTCCGCAACATCCAGGATCCGTTTCGTACCTTGCATGTAGCGACAACGTCCCGACGTCCCGACGAACAATCCCTCCGCTCTCAACGTTCAGTGCTTCTTCGAGTGCGTTCCCCCCTTCGTGATCGATGGCACGCGCCTGCCGCTAGTCTGACCCTGTTTTCTAAATGGGTGTTCGCCTCGGTTGCTGAAAGAAAGGGCAGCGTGCCCTCTGGGGAGAGAATCGACGGAGGCTACGCACATTGGATAAAAATAGGAAAAATTATGAGAAAATTTATGTCGGGAAAAGCTGGGAGAAAGTCTCCGAGCGGGCACACGGCCGGCGGCCGAGGCGATTTCACCACACTGGAGGGTAGAGGTTGGTCACCAGATCGTGGTCACCCGATCGACTTGGTAGCACCTAGATATAGAGCCATCAACACCACACCGATGCGTGCCGTGGTCTGGTGGTTGGTCGTCTGCGCGCATCTCGGGACAGGTGAGCACCGTCGTGCCGATTCCTCCGGCGCCGTGTCCTTCGTGTGTCCGCGAGTCACGGGAGTGGAGTAGAGAGTAAGATGGTGCTGGCTTGCGTTCCCTTCCCAACCATAGGGCCTGCAACACAGCCACAAGAAGACGGGCGAAGATGTACCAGGCAGAGACTCTCAACACTTTTGAATTTCAAATTTGAAATCCTTTCGGCTTTCTCGTCAGTAGTATTCGTCAACCCTATGTGGTATGCCCTTTTGTCTTTATAGACTGTGGTGCTTGATGTTAAGATGCTTGTTAACTCTCACACCCGGTTGGGGGGAAAGAGCAGGGAGTGCCACGCCCACGACAGCTGACGTGGGGGCTCCACACACTCATTCTCTGGTCGTACTACCCAACACACACCTACGTTCAGGGTGAAACAGTCGTGTCGTCTTCAGATCCGACTACATACGCACTCACACGAACGCCCTCCCTGGTTCTTGACGCCAAAGTAACTAACCACTGGTGTGGGATGCGTGCTTCCGCCACCTCAAGTCGAGTTTTTCTGCAACCACAACCAATCAATAAAAACCGAGGGGGAAACCCGGCCACCGGGTCAAAACCCCTCCCTCCCAAGGATGGTACTACTACGAAAAAGCAAGATAAAGACGCAAACAGGATAGTCTAACTCCGACAACGTAATCGATCCGGGTAACCTTCCCGCCACGTTTCAATATCCCCTTCTTCCTAGTACCCATCAATGACCAAAAGTCTGCAGCCACTGCCACGATTTCACTCCCACAAAGTCCAAACATAAGTCCGTTGCAATTTACTCCTACTACTGCCCTTCCCGCTCGACGAACAACTAGACTATCGATGATCTGAATACCTAACTTCCTCCCTCCCCCTTGATTCCGGCGCTTCGCGGCGCCCCCGGGGTTGGTGATGTATGCTATCATCCTGGGACAGCTGTTTTGTCAAACACATCAAGCATGATAAACCTTCTTGCATGGAGTACAACTCTTTCCCGACTCTCGGAAATTCAAACTTCAGCCTGCTTACACACAGCTCTTCGACTCTCAGAAAAAACAAAGTTCCAATTCTCAACCGCCATACAGCACGCGCCCATATGGCTGCTCTCCCTCACTCGAAGAAAACTGCGGTCCATGATGTCGTGCGATAACCTCCCTCGCTCTTTGCTGCGAGTGGTACGCCACACACAATACCTCCTTAATTCAACGCTCGCAGAAAACACGCCTGGCTATTGTACTGCATCGAGAATGTGTCATTGCTGAGGCTTCCTTTCCTCCTACAAGACAATCGCAGTGATTCTCATCACGGGGCTTCTCCCCTTCCACGAGACAAACATTGATATAGATTGTGGAGACGCCTTGCTACTGCGAATCCCTCAATAAGGTCGATACGTCTGGTACATGGGTCCACACCTACCTGCAGCAACAATGGAAATGTCGCCTACACACCTATCTGCAGCAACAACGGAAATGTCACCTACAACGGTGTCCTCTCCTTTTTTTCAGCCGACACGCTGGGTACTGTTTTACCCCTGGGCTTGAGTTTTCATCGGAGCGCCTGTGCTGCATCCCCTCATTTGATACACCGGGTCCTGTGTAGCCCTTCTCTTCAGCCGACACCCTAGATACTGTTTAACTCTGTGCGTAAGTTTTCATCGGCTGCCGGGAGCGCCTGTGCTGCATCCCCTCATCTGATACACCTGGTCCTGTGTACCCCTTCTGTTCAACCGACACGCTAGATACTGGTTTACCTCTGTGGGGGAACTTTCATCGGTTGTGGGGAGCGCCTATGCTGCATCCCCTCCTTTGATACGCCTGGTTCCGCGCACCCCTTTTATTCTGCCCCAGACAAAGTTTTCATTGCCCGCGGACATCATGAAATGGAAGAGCCTGTATCATTGTACTCGGTTCCCCATATAGGGAGATCCGCGAATCGCCATCATAGGCTGGTTTTTGGAGCCGAATTACCATCGTCGTACGAAACACCCGCGATAACACGCCTGGATTTTACCATTGAAAAGGACAAACAACAATTGCTCAACAAAACATCCACACTCGATGGAAACGCCTGAACCGCGAATCCTCTTTCGGAAGTCATCGTTGGTCGTATCATCGTAAGCGAAGCTACCATCACTCTACGAACACCAAATCAGAAAACGGAAACGCCTTGGCCGCGAATCCCCTGTAAAAACTTTCGGTATCATTCGTCACAAGCAAAATCATTCATTATCACAGCGTCTGGCGGCAACGCCGCGTTGTTATTGGCCCTTGTTCAAAAGCACAGCAGATTTCGCGGTCTCGCCCTTGCTCCTCTGCGGCAATTCCACGTTCACCAGAATCGCCATGACTGCAATCCTCCAGTTCTCCCGGAGCAAGTACATTTCGCGCGATCAACAGGCTCGTGTGCTGTGCCGCCCGCTACTCCACCGCCGACACCACCGCCCCTCTGCCGTCTTGTCATTGGGCCGGTTCCAACAGGTCGTTCATGAGTGTGGCCCCGAAGTATTATCCTCCAGGCTCCACCTCCTGACACCTCGTCCCGTGTGCCCGGGGCAGTCAAGCTACCCCCAGCAGCGCTTCTGCTAGAGCTACCAACCGTACAGAGAAAGTCTATGGTCTGTAATCCCACCAAACCCACCAATTGCAGGGACGTCAAACGCCCGCACCGGTTCACCTTCCGTGCCCGATCCACTGCTGCTCCCTCTTCCAGCGGCGTCATCTGTTCTATCGCCAGCCGCAGCGTGCAGCTCTGATAGGCAGCTGCCTGGCGGCGAGATTCCGACAATCCCACCGCCGGATGCAGTGCGTCTCCCAGCACCGCCTGACCCCCCTCGGGTTCCGCAATCTTACATTGCCTGCAGCAGCGATGACATCTTGTCCACCATCCCCTGCATCCAAACTCATTGCTCTTTGCTTCCTAGCGGGGGGGAAGCGTATGGGTGGTCCGGGAGACCTACTCCCCCGACTCCACCGGGTGGCACCCCAAACCGTGTGCCCGGCGCGGCTTCACCGCGCCCTGCGGCGTTGCCAGCGCCGCTTGACTCCCCCTCTTCTGCCCCCGCCGCCCCGGCAGGCGGCATCTGAAGTTACCCTAGCTTCTCCATGACAGCCGACAGCACCTTGCTCGGCTCCTCCAGCCTCTTGGACAGCTTCGTCACGCGCGTGTCGATCGTGGTTCCACCGCCTTCGCTCGCTGGGGTATCGCCAGGCATAATCCCCACAAAGGGGCTCCTTCGAAGGAAACTCTAGAGTATTCTTCAACCCAAAGTGGTATGCCCTTTTTGTCTTTGTAGACTGTGGTGCTTGATGTTAAGATGCTTGTTATCTCTCACACCCGGTTGGGGGGAAAGAGCAGGGAGTGCCACGCCCCACGACAGCTGACGTGGGGGCTCCGCACACTCATTATCTGGTCGTACTACCCAACGCACACCTACGTGCGGGGCACCTCAAACATTCATATCGTCTACAGATCCGACCACATACGCACTCACACGAACAAATACAAGGCCCGTCTGCGAGATAAGCCGTGCAGCAAATCCAGGGCTATCCGCAGTCTGGTATGCAGAGGTAAAACGAATTTCTTTATGTGGGACAGAATTTATAACGTGGAGTGACTCCTGGACTGAATGATCATGCACGAAAATAGCTCGCACGTGTTTGCCTCTCCATGCGGGCATATGGTCTGCATGTAGCGAGACGAAGGGCCGAACATAGCTGTGTGACAAGAGGATTGATCGCACGAAACATGCCATCACAGCTCGCAGCTGCAGCCTTCGGCTGATAAATACGCTTATTTGTCCAAGAAAACGGAAAAATATCCCCAGAGAACGGTGCGCAGTTCATGGTTGTGGCACGCAGTTCGCTGATTGGTGAAAAAAGACTGCGGCGGAATTTCGAAAACTAAAAAAAACAACAGGCACGACCCTAGATCTTGTTTGGCAAATGGCGTTATCCACCGTGAAATCGAGGCAGGCCCTGAGGAAATCTTGGGGGCATGGTGTTGTTGTTGTTGTTGTTGTTTCTCACATTAGCTCTAGGTATAGTCCACAAAAAATGGGGAGCCCGTGGTCTCAAAACCCGGCACATACGAGGCCGCGGGGAAACAAAACAAGAATAGGGTACAAACCACTCGGAAAAAGAAAACAAAATGATAGAAAGAAAAGAACAGGTATCGCACCGACCGTTCGAGAAAAGAGCCCTCGGAAACCGATCAAAATAAGATAAAAACAAAAATAAAGGAGGACGCTTCCCACACCCGCCCAAAGAAAAAAATCAAAGGGTAACGTACCAGCACCAGGCACTACGCACCAGGG